TGTTTCCTTTCGACAATTGGGTTATTCCTCTTCACCTAACAGTAAAAAGGTACCTAGGTGTAGTCGACCCCGATTTGGGGCGCATCCTGGGGGTAAAATTGACCTAATTTGCTCGAATGTTCTGCATAACACGGGACTTTCCATATAGCAAGACATTTTTTTTCGGGTACAGATATACATATAACAGTTTTCATAAATTATCATACATAGCCGCATTGTGAAAAATTTCGTAAATAATCCCCCAAAAATTAAAAGTAAATTTTTTCGACAGGGGTGCTTTATAGTAGCATGTCACTGGGCGTTACTAGGGGTTTTGTATAAAAGTTTTACATGTTTCTTTTAAATAAAGATGATATTTTTTTTTAAATTTACTTTTGAGGAAACCCCCAAAGGAAATAAAAAGGGCCACCAATGGAAATAAGTCACTTTCCCTCCCGACTTTTCTGGGGTTAAACCAAGGGTTTTCTACACATAAACTGCAAAGGGATGATTATCTATGTAAAAAGTATTTTTGTTTTACCGGGAAAAACTTTCTTTTAAAGGGACTGGCTCTATCTGGGTTAAGGGAAAAAAGTCCCTGACCTAACAGGAAAATTTTTTTCCCCATTTTTTTCTTGCTGGAAGAAACTTTTTTTTTATAATTCCTTGCTATATTCCCGGGTAAAATATTTTTTTTCCCCCGACTCAAGAGAGGAAAAGGGTCCCAAAAAAGCGGGAATTTTTTAGTGTTTCCTTAAAAAAAACTGAGAGACCGGAACTTTGGGGGCGGGAGCCCCGAAAGGACAGCTTCCTGTGGTCGTCTGGAGAAGACGAATTTTTTAAGCTAAGTTCACTTTTCCTGAAAGGGAAAAACTATCAAAGAGTGCTCCTTAGCAAACCAAAAGGATCACAGGACCGATTTCCACAAAAAATCTGACGTGGGCAACGGTCATTAGTGAACCAATTTTGGGGAGTGATGTATGGAGACAGCATCCATAAAATACTTTAAGAAGAGGTACGATAAAGCTCTTGGAGCAGGGTGGCTTTCTCTTTTTGATTAAATAATAATAAATCAGGGGGCAGGGAGGAAAGGGATCTAGTATGAACAGGAAGAGGTGGGGGCCCGGAGCAATGAATTGACCCCCCAAAAACCCCAAATAGGGGAGTACTAATCACTGCAAAAACAGCTCGTGTAGTCGGCAGGGAAGAGTTAAACTAAGGCAAACATGTTTTCCTTTAAAAGACCATCTTTTTACATTAAACGGGAGGAACCAAGGAAAAATTTCATTAATATGGTACCTCAGTGGGAAAAAAAATTACTTTGGCCCCGACTTTCCTTTGGTTTTAACCCCAGGTAATCTACACATATGCATCAAAATTTTAAAAATTTTTTGTAACTGTATTTAAGTCTCCAGAAACCCGAATTTTAAATTTCTTAAACATCAACTACAAGGTTTTTGCATCCTGGGGGGACTGTAGTAAACATCAGACCACAACACTGCAAAAAAAAATGGTTTAAAAAACAAAAGGGCTTCCACTAATTTTGTGAAACCCGTTCCCCCTAGGTTAATCTACATAATTAACTATTTTTTTTTAAATTTCCCCTAACATATGGCTGTCAAGGCCCCTTGTAATAATACGGCTATTATTAAATAAAATCACTGACTTTTTTTTTTAGGGGGGGTTTAACCTAGGTAATTTACACCGTTTTCCTAGGCATGTAATAATTTTTTGTAACTGGGAATTTTTTTAAACCTGTACCTAAATTTAAAATTTTCATGGCTTAATTGGGAACCCCAAGTGGGTTTTTGGGTAATTGGGTTTTTTTTTTGGGGGCCCTTAGGGTATTCCTGGTTTTTTAGGTTAGTTTGAATTAGGGTTTTTTTTTCCCCAAAATTCTGTTTTTTTTTTTTTTTATATATAAAATGCTTGCACAACAAAAAACGTCTTTTTTATAAGACCCACCCAGAACTGTACCATTTAAACAAAAGTTTTTTTTCCGAAACCTGCTGAGGACCCGACCAAACGTTTTTTTTACCAAATGTAATATTATACATCCAAAAACCCAAAATTTAAAATTTGCTTAACTAATTTTTATAACAAATTTATAAAGTACTTTTTGGAAAAAAACAAAATTTTTTTTAAAAATTTTCCCAAAAAAATTTTCTAGCACTGAGTTTTTCAAAATCTTTTTTCCGCACATTAAAAAGAAATTTAAAAACTTAAACAATGTCCAAAAATTTAAATTTATCAGGCAATGTCTCTCCAGTATTACCCCACGATAAAAATTTTTCCCCACATAAATTAAAAGTAATAAAACTTAAAAAGCACTACCTAAAAACCAAAATTCATCAGTCGTAAATCCAATTAAAAAAAAGCCCCAAAACTGGGTTTATTTGGCTTTTTCCATATTACTAAAATTTTTTAAAATCAATAATCCCCAAAAAGTCTTTTTTTCCACTCCCCTTCCCTTCTGTGAAGGTACCATGAAAGTCCGATATACTGATCCAACTGAGTTCATTTTTCTAGGGCCCAAACACTTTTTTTTCCTCTTTCCCCGCAGCCCGTGAAAATGATTTTCTTCTCATTTATTATTGTAAATAATCATAGGCTTCCTCTTACTCCACTGGTCCCCTCATACGTCATTCACCCTTTGCTCCAAGGCTACTTTTTTAGGGATGTTGTGTGCCATATATTGAGGTGATTATTTTTTAAAGACAAATTTTTAAGATTTTTATATCTTAATTTTCACTTCTTTTTTTTTGCCCGAAACATTTTTTGCAGTGTTTCTGGGGAAATTCAATTTATTAAATTTTAAATTTGACCCTTTATATAAACTTTCATTTTGGTTTTTAATTTTTTAAAAGTTTTTAATATGTTTTGTAATTTTTTTTTTGTAAAATTTTTTTTAATTTTTCTTTGTTTCTGTAACCATATAAAGCAATGAAGTTCTGTTTGTGTCACACTAAAAATAACCTTAATTTTTTTGCCTGGTATCCCGTCTCATTTTCATTTTCGTGGTCAGAGATCTTACAGCACTAACACAAAAATTTTTTAAATCTTCTGGAAGTATTTTGGGTTTTGTATATTTTCTTTCAAACCCCAGTTTAAAAATACGGCCCTTGAAAGAACAGTTACAAAACAGTTAAGAACCACAATGGCCACAAATGTCCCCCCCCATATCCTCCTTTAAAGATCCTGATTTGGGGAAAATTAAAATTAAAAAAAGGGAAAGAAAAAGTTCAAAAAATTTTTCCCTTTTGATGGGAAAAATTTTTTTTGTCATCTAAAAGGGGGAGATGTTTCTATAAATACTGTACTTAAAATTTTATTAAAAAATTTTTCCATAACTGTTAAAATTTTTTTATTTTTATAAAATAAAAAGTATGTAAAAATGGGGAAATCTCGTTTTCGTACGATCCACAATCTACAATTTTAGATTTAAAAGCACTTTTTTTGGGTGAAAATTTTTTGGGCTGGATTTTGTACCTCCATCCGGAAAATTTGTATGTATCGAAGGGAACCCGCCCCGCTCGGGACGCCCCTTTCGGTCCAGTCGGCCCTGTCACGGTTAGTGAGCATTCATCCCCAAACATTTTACAATTTTTGTGGCTTGTTTATTTATTGCAACTGGTTTAAATAACCACCAGGGCCCCCAAAAAAAGTTCCTAGTGCCAGCCCCCATGGTAAAGAGGTGGAGAAACATGATAGAATTCCAAAAAGGAGAAATTTTAGAAAAAATGCGAAAAAAGGGGGTACTTTAAACCCGGGTTGCCAGGGTGTAAGGGAAGCCGAAATCACACTCTGTTCCCTCCTGGCAAAAAAAGTAAAAAACAGGGGAAAACTAAAGTTGCCCAAAAGGGGGAAATTGCTAACAAAAAAAGATCACAAACAATTGAAAATGGGAAAAAATTTTGTTTGTGGAACAACAGAAAAATTTTTGCGGGAGATAATGTTGTGGAATTTTATCATTTTTAAAAAGGGAAGGGAGTTGCATGTGGCCCTTTTAAAGAAAATGCCCCGGAACGAGTGCGCTGTTAGTGAATTTAAAAGGCCCCAAAAGGGTGGTTCAACAGAAGAGTTTTGGGGGAGGCCACAGGGAAGAGCTTAACCCCTGAAAAAGGCCCGCAAGACCCCCTTTATCTGGGAAAAGCAAAAAGACCCCCAACTGAGGAAAAATTTCTTCAAAGGGGGGAAAAAAGAGGGGAAAGGTGCCTTCCCTTTAGGATTAAGGGGGGAGGTTTCAAAGTGGGAAAGAAATTGCAACTTTTGTTTTAAAAAAATCACCCGGGCAAAGCTGATACAAGCCCTAACGCAACATGTTCAGTGACAATTTCCCCTTTTCCCCTTTTAGGCAAATCTTAAAGAGGGCCAAAACAGAGCTCTTGGCAAGTTTTAATTTGCGACAAGGGTCCATTTCCAGTAAAAAAAAAAGAAGGGAAAATAAACCCCCGAATGGCCCTTTTAAAACCTGTAGGTTTCCCTTTTGGAGGGGGGTTAACCCTTCCAAAAAAATAACCTCAACTCCCTCTTCCCTCCTTGCCTTTTTCCAAAACCCCCAAAGAAACTTCGTAAAGGTAGAATTCATTTTTCATTAAAAAAAAGTCATTTATAAATTTTTTTCTATTTTTTTTTTGTATGTACAAAAATAGTTTAAAACTTTAAAAAAAGTAATTTTTTTTTTAAAATTTTTTGGGTGTCTGAATGGAATTTAAATTTTAAATTTACATTATTTTTTTGGGAAATATTAATTCAGTTTTTTCTTTCCTTTCAGATTTAACCCCGACCTTCGGGAAAGGATTAAGTACGAAAAACCCGGAAATTCCACTGAAATTCAAACCCTTCCCCGCCCCTTTTGTTAAATAATTTTATTGAATTTGCATATTTCATTTCAGGGAAAAATTATTAGCTAAAAAAACTATTGCAAATTATCTTTTAAGGGGGATTTGGGATTTATAGGTATTTGCCATGACATGTATTTTTAAAAAATAATGTGAACTTTTATCTTCCTTCTCCCCCAGCCTTGAGCGTGGCAGTGAAAATATTCACATATCAGCCAATAGCCCTTCCCTTGGGATTTTTTTTCGACTGCAGGGGCACGTGCGCGTGCACTGCCTCCTACCCGTTTCCCCCCGTCCCAAAATGTCACTGCAAATCCATTCACGCTACCCAAGGGGCTTTTTATTTATGTGGAGTATGCTTTTAAAGGGAACGCAGTTGTATCTCAACCTTAAATAAAAAAAAATTTTTTTAATCTGTTTCTTATTTTTTAAAACAGTGCATATTAGTGCCTTTTTTTGTTAATTATTTGCCTTTCCTTTATCAGTGATTTTTTTTTAATTTTTAAATAAAAGGGAATAAAGGGCCCGCCCCTTTCATTATTTTAAATTTTTTGGAAATTTTGTACTCTTCATTATTTATTTGCCCCAAAACAAATATTTTGTGTAGGGTATAAATGAACAGGGACATTTTCTGATGGGGGGGCATGGTAATATTTTTTTGAAGGGGTTCAAAGGGAAAATGGTTAGCCAGACTTGAGTCCTGGAAATGGGAAGTACAATGCCTGCACTTTAAAGGAGGGGTTTGGGATAATGGCAGGTTGACTTTTAAACTGTTGTATCCGAGCGCCTCTGCAAAGACAGTGATTATGTATGAATGAGGTGAAAGTGTTGAATGATGATGAAAGTATTTTCTTTTTTAGAGATTTTCTTTCTTTTTGGGACACCCTGCCTCGGTGGGAGATGACTGACGTGTTAAAAAAAAAAATTGCTGAGTAGGTGTTCAAAGCTAATGAAACTGGGTTATTTTGGAAGAGAAAATTAGAACCTTACCTACTCCCATCAAGGGGCCATGATGCTAATGAAGGACTTTTGAGCCAAGGAATCAGAGCTGTTCTGTTTCTCAGATCAAACCTGATTCTGCCTTCCCCCATTCCTCAGGTATTGTATGACCCTTGCATGCTTGGTGCTTCTTCATGAGTATAATACATAGTAATAGTTCTTATTCTCTGAATAAGAGTTTCCTAAGTTTTAAGATGGTCAGAGTGGCAAAGCAACTGATAATTTTAAACTCATGTACTGGGCAAAGCAGTTGATAATTTTGAACTTTAGCTAAAATTAGTGTACCATTCTGAAAATGCAAGTGCTATGAAAAATACTGAAAAAGTAATCCTCCTAGTAATTTTTTTTTTTTTTTTTTTTTTTCAACAAGTCGGCCGTCTCCCACCGAGGCAGGGTGACCCAAAAAAGAAAGAAAATCCCCAAAAAGAAAATACTTTCATCATCATTCAACACTTTCACCACACTCGCACATTATCACTGTTTTTGCAGAGGTGCTCAGAATACAACAGTCTAGAAGCATACACATATAAAGATACACAACATATCCCTCCAAACTGCCAATATCCCAAACCCCTCCTTTAAAGTGCAGGCATTGTACTTCCCATTTCCAGGACTCAAGTCCGACTATATGAAAATAACCGGTTTCCCTGAATCCCTTCACTAAATATTACCCTGCTCACACTCCAACAGATCGTCAGGTCCCAAGTACCATTCGTCTCCATTCACTCCTATCTAACACGCTCACGCACGCTTGCTGGAAGTCCAAGCCCCTTACCCACAAAACCTCCTTTACCCCCTCTCTCCAACCCTTTCGAGGACGACCCCTACCCCGCCTTCCTTCCCCTATAGATTTATATGCTTTCCATGTCATTCTACTTTGATCCATTCTCTCTAAATGACCAAACCACCTCAACAACCCCTCTTCTGCCCTCTGACTAATACTTTTATTAACTCCACACCTTCTCCTAATTTCCACACTCCGAATTTTCTGCATAATATTTACACCACACATTGCCCTTAAACAGGACATCTCCACTGCCTCCAACCGTCTCCTCGCTGCTGCATTTACCACCCAAGCTTCACACCCATATAAGAGTGTTGGTACTACTATATTTTCATACATTCCCTTCTTTGCCTCCATAGATAACGTTTTTTGACTCCACATATACCTCAACGCACCACTCACCTTTTTTCCCTCATCAATTCTATGATTAACCTCATCCTTCATAAATCCATCCGCCGACACGTCAACTCCCAAGTATCTAAAAACATTCACTTCTTCCATACTCCTCCTCCCCAATTTGATATCCAATTTTTCTTTATCTAAATCATTTGACACCCTCATCACCTCCTAGTAATATAAACATTTAAACAAGAAACCCCCAGAAATATATAGCTATTGAAGGACTGGTTTAAGAGTACTACTGCCCAACTGTTAAAACACAATGTTAAAAGAGCATAGTCACAGGACTTTTACTCTCTATATTATATTGTATAATTTCTTGGATTATCCTCTTAGTTTTTGCAACTTTTATGAAAATATTTTCATAAAGATTCTTCCCATAAAATATATTTTTTTAAAACACCAGCTGTCTTCCATTGAAATAGGGAAACCTTCCCCCCCCCCCAAAAAAAAAAAAAAGATGAAAAAAATTCACCATGATTCATTCAGTCTGTCTTGCCAGAAGCACACTCACATCACTGTTCTGATAGCCCTCCAGACTACAGCATCCTCACCACTCTTATAAAATATAACTTTAGAAATCTCTATGTATATGGCTGGTAAGTACAGTACATGTATATCAAAGCACTGTTCCAGAATATGGTTGGCATTAATTTTCCCATTTTCTGGAACTGTTTTGATATCCAATTCTTACAAAGCCTGTAGTTTTTTAGTCATGCATTGTGTGACATTTGCATAGAGGGGCAAGGTCTGAGTTAGACATGAAAATTAATTTGAAAATATTGCTGCAATGTGCATTTGAATGAATAATGTTATTCATTTTCTACAGTGCTGTTCGAGTAATGAAGGATGCCAGTGAAAAATTTACTTCACTGCAGGAGCTCTTGAAGAGTGCCATATTTCATCGTCAGCAGCTGAAATATGAACAGACACGCAGGTATGCAACATCAACAGGCTGAAAATTAGTTTATAAATAAATTGCCTAATTTGTGAATACTGTTCATGACACAGTAGCCTTGAAAGTCAAAGGAAAATTGTGAAGGAATGGACTCTTATGATGTTGTTTGGCAAATACTGTATATGATACTGTAAAATAATTGCATACCATTTGAGCACATTCAGGTGGTGTTGTGAAGTAAGTAACAGGCATTCAACTTTCTTCTTTTTAGAGTCTAGTCTATATTGCACCTCTCCCCACTTATGTTCTTTGGACCCCAGAGATCCCAATTTTTGAAGAAAGTTCGTTAAATATTTTGTATTTAAATTGCCAGAGATACATCATGGGAGTTAAATATCATATTTCATAATCTTTTTGACAAAGTTGTATTGTATCCACTTTAAATTTTATGATTATCTTTGATGTTTTATGTCTGTATCAGTCTACAGAGAACATTATAGTCATTTTTATTAGCATTGTGTTCAAAGGGGCATCACCAGAATGCATTCTCCCTTCTTCACACCCTCTCCTTGCTTTTCTTTACTCCTCTTCTCTCCTTCCCTTCCTCCATACTTTTTCTTTCCCTCACATTTTCCCTCTTACACTCCCATTCTTTACACTTTCTCTCCTTCTTCTCACTCTTTTTCCTCCCTTGCATACTTTCCCCTCGCACATTCTCCATTTCACCTCTGAACTCTTCTCCACTACATTTCCCTTTCTCACACACTTTTTTCTCCTTAACTGAAATGTGCTATGATTTTTTTTATAGTATATCAGGTGGTGCCATTTTATACTCCCTCTTGTTCCTGAAGTGTAATGTGACTACTCGGTGTCCTGGTAGTCACATTACAGTATATCATATGCCCAGTATATCATATGTTATGGGGTACTCACTCCCTAGTGCTTCACTGTTAATCCAAGAATATCAAAAACTGGCTCTTTTCAGCTTATGGAAATTTTTTGTAGCAAGAAAGTCAAAGAAATCAATGGGATGTTTAACAAAATATAAAGCAGTAGTTTAAAAGTGTACTCGCCAAAATCTATATGCATTGTTCTCTTCTAAATTACTGGTATATATACGCTGTAAGTATAAATGTAGATCCCCCAGGCATCGTGTCTATATAACTTAAGGTGCCAGGAATTGGAGTACAGATGCTTCAGCCATGAAAGAACATGTATAAGCAAGCCTCATTTTAAAAGGGATGACTAACAGAGGCCAGTGATTCCTGATAAAAAATAAAGATCTGAAAAGGGAGAAATATTTAACCAAAAATCATATGCTAAATACAGTTCCTAACAAAATATATTACACCTACAATCTATAAATCATAATATCTGTACCTGTCTAAGGGCAATGTGTGGTGTAAATATTATGCAGAAAATTCGGAGTGTGGAAATTAGGAGAAGGTGTGGAGTTAATAAAAGCATTAGTCAGAGGGCAGAAGAGGGGTTGTTGAGGGGGGTTTGGGTTTCATTTAGAGAGAATGGATCAAAGTAGAATGACATGGAAAGCATATAAATCTATGGGGGAAGGAAGGAGGGGTAGGGGTCGCCTTGAAAGGGGTTTGGGAAAGGAGGGGGTAAAGGAGGTTTTGTGGGCAGGGGCTTGGATTTCCAGCAAGGTGCATGAGCTTTGTTAGATAGGAGTGAATGGAGACGAATGATACTTGGGACCTGATGATCTGTTGGAGTGTGAGCAGGGTAATATTTAGTGAGAGATTCGGGGGGAAAACCCGTTATTTATTTAGTCGGACTTGAGTCCTGGAAATGGGAAGTACAATGCCTGCACTTTAAAGGAGGGGTTTGGGATATTGGCAGTTTGGAGGGATATGTTGTGTATCTTTATACGTATATGCTTCTAAACTGTTGTATTCTGAGCACCTCTCCCAAAGCAGTGATAATGTGTGAGTATGGTGAAAGTGTTGAATGATGATGAATGTTTTTTCTTTTGGGGATTTTCTTTGTTTTTTGGGTCACCCTGCCTCGGTGGGAGACGGCCGACTTGTTGAAAAAAAAAAAAAATCTGTCCCTAAGTCCAAATGATGCTTTTCAATATATCCGGGGGAAATATCCTGGCATTTGTGGCTGGGGCCCATAATATTTCCCAAACTGGCAACAGGAATGCTTAAGTCTTACCTGAAACTATTACAGTTCTCAAAGAAAGCAATAGTATTGCATGTACATTTAGTACATGCAACATACAGGCAATTCCCCATTGGTTCCAACAAAATATAATTATGCATCAGATTTTTTTTTTATGTTACTTGTGCTTAGTGACAGCACAAGATGAGCACATGGTTCATGCCATGTTTTTTTTTACCCTCTTACAATGCTGAAGGAATTTCAACTCCGTGGAACACCTGTGATATATAAAGTGTGTACAATAATACTCAACAAATAAAAGTCAGAATGATCTGCTATATGGCAAAATGGGAAAATGCATTGAATTTTTGTGTGCAGTGCATGGAGCATGTAAGAATTTAGGAATAATTAGAATTTGACTGACATTGTTTAAAAATTCATCAAATGCACCCTTCTTTGTTAAATTGATTCACACGGGTGCCATGGTCATAGTAACATCTATGTTCCACTTCTTATTGTCTAGCAAGGAGCATCCATTACTGATATTACACTAGAAAGCACCACTCATGGCACTTACAATCATTCCTTTTTTTTTTTTTTTCTGAAAGAGAGACCTTAGAACTGGATGAAAATACAATTTTTGCCTTGTCCATTTATATTAACGAGCAGCAGTGTTACTGTACTGTATACTGGTATGTATAACGTGCACTTGGTTTTTATATTAACAAGACACAGTTAAATTTATGATTAACAAGATTTGGAGTAAAAGTAGATAGTTTGCTAGGAGGGAATGAATGATTTGTACAGTATCTTTTTTTTTTTTTCAAGTCGGGGTTTTATTATACTCTTACGTATACTAGGATCTTGTGAAATATCTGAGGCATGTGGATGTTTTGTCTGATGTTAGCTGGTCCAAGTTATCTATGATACTACATAGTGTTGAATATTCTTGTACCCTTTTTTCCCAAATTTTTTTTTTTTTCTGGTGGGGTGTATTTTATCTCATGAAGTGGGGAAAATGAGTTATACAGTAGATAATGATGATGGTAATGGTGTTGATTGATAATTTTTGTAGTTAACTTAATATCATCTGAAAATCCCAAAATTTTAAATTTAAAGACTATTTTTTTAAAAATGGCAGGGAGTAGATGGTAGATTACTTGTGGTGCAACATTCTATTTTTATAACATTTCTTACCCTACAATACAGCATTTAATAGAATATGCATTCTCTGAATGCAAAGAATTCCAATAGAAATTGCTCTTGCTGTCACCATTTACCATATAATAAATGCAATAATTCTACCTTAGTAGATGACACTGAAGAAGTTACAATCAGATATCAACAAGGGCTTCCACTGGGAAACAGAAAATAACGTGATGTTCCACTGTGATAAATTTGAAGTGAGTAAATTGAATATGTACAGGATAAAAGATACAATCATATCTTTTTTTTTTGTAGAATATAGGGAGCATGTAAAAGAGTCAGGAATATTAAGTGTCAGATGACTTAATACTTAGAGAACATAAAAACAAATTTTGCCCAAATTGGGAAAATGACCTTCTAGATTATGAGAACGTGCTCATATTTCCATTCACTTCAGGTAAGACATTGATGCTAAAAAATATATATATATAAAGATCTTTTTTTCCGCTTAAAACAATGAGTATAATTTTTTGAAGTAGAGATAAGAGAGGGGCCTCATAATCTATTCAGTACATGAAAAATTTTTGAAGTTTAGGTTTGTAGGCCATGGGTAGCAATAGTCTGGCTGATCAGTCAGTCACCAGGAAACCTTGGCCTCAGGCTGCAAAGGCTGGCAAAACTTTTGAAATATTTAGTAGGTATGTTACAAGCACCAAGTTAGAAGCATAACTGCATTTTATATACAGTTAAGACTAGCATGTATGTTTACCACTGGCAAAACAGTAATTGAGTGAATGACTGTGAATGCATTTCCTCTTTTCTGGGGTTGGCCTATCTTGGTGGGAGACAGTCAGTGTGTTAAAAATTAAATTCTGAAACTGAATAAACAATTGGGTGGTCTGTTAACCGTACTTCATTCCAAACTAAACATATTATAATAGGTAAACTGTAATATTACTATACCTTATTACAGTGTGAAATTCAGTAGGCTAATTTTTACATTGCATAAGGATTTTAACCTGTTGCAAAAGGGTGTACATTTTTGTAACATACATAAAGGGTTTATTAGAGTAAAAATGTTGAGCTATGAACTCATTTGATAACACTGGCCAATAATGGTTTCAATTCATGTTTAAAAACAAGTGTTTCTAACTAATTTTAGGATGTTGAATTCAAATTTGAACTTAAGTTTTGCTCCAGCATGTACAGTAAGAAATAGAATCCCATGGTAAATGATTCACCAAGACATTATGGACATTATGGAAAAGAGATATCAGGAAAACCTGACAATCAGTTTGGTGGCCGGCTATTGCTGGACACTGGTGCAGGAGAGCCATACTGAATACCAAGTGAAAAATCCAAAAAATGTAATGTAAATATGCTTGTATGACTGTATGGAACTTTCTTATTTTTGTTATTCATATATATATATAATGAATCTACATTAAGGAAGATTAGTTTTGTCATTGAATCACATTAATGTCCATGCATAATATAATGCATTGTTAGGTAACATATATCATGAGGTTTTCATCCTTAATTAACAGAAATACTGATTATAAGATTTCAAAAAATTCATACATGATAAGAGACTAAACAAGCTCAGATTGTTTAGTGCTGAGCTGAATAAAAAGCTAAATTTTGTTGGCTAGTGTAATTTATCAACATTGAGAATATGGAAGTAGAATGTTAACAAAAATTACAGTTAACTCATTTGAAATAGATTATAATGCAGTACATCAAGTGACAAGTTTGTTTTCACCTGGTTAAATTCATAAAGAAATTTTTCATTTGCATATTTATTGTGAATAATTTCTTGGGTAAAAAGTTTGCACAGTTTTGAAGATTAATTTTGTTCAACCTTTCTTGAAACTGCACTGTATTAGGAGTAACAAAGCATTAAACTTCAGAATATCCTTTTATTATAAGTAGTAAATTTTTTTACCATTGGAAAAAACTGAACTACATATATATGGATCTGATAACTCAGTCCACAAATCAAGGTTATTTATCATTGTTATTCTCATTTTTGTAGGTGTGGTTCGGTGGTGGCTACAAACAGTGCATGTGATTCTGTGAGTAGGTTATTCATACAGGACAATTTGCAATAATAAATCAGCAATATAAGATTTATTTCTTATATTTGAAGTGGCATTTCATTAATCGCAAAATTAATAAATTTAATTGCTGTGAAAGCTTGAGCATAAGTGTTTTTATTTATTTGCTTTAATGGCTTTTATTAAAGTAAATAAATTAATAAATATATATATTTATTCATTTATTTATTTATATGTACATATACATAGAGTACTCTATATATGTATTAGTACTATCTGTATGTACATAAACATACAGAGTACTAATACATACACACCATTGTGAAAATACTGTTTAACAAAAATACCCAAATGCTTTTATGTACTTACACAAATCTTCAGAGGAACTAGAGAGAAGAATCAAATGTAGCAAATTTGTGAGATGTTTGAATAACAGTTGGTAACGATAACTTGGTGAGCCCTACGAGGGACATATGGAGGAGGAGGAGGGAAATAGCCTAAAGAACTACTCGATCCCTTTGCACTGGTTAAGCGATAACCACTTGCTACTAAAAAAAATTTTCTCAGTTGTGTTACGTGATACTCTGTATTGGGTTGACTTCATATATATTACTGTAATCTAAAACAGGAAAATCTGGCAAAAATTGTAAAAAAACATTGATCTCACATGTGTCATTTCAGTTATTAACCCTTTCAGGGTTGGTAGGCCCTCTCCTAAACTTGTTCTCAGGGTCAGAAATTTTTTGAAAAAAAAAAAAAATTATTTTTTCTTATGAAATGATAGAGAATCTTCTCCTGATCATAATGACACCAAAAGTATGAAGTTTGATGGAAAACTTGGGGAATTATGCTCCTGCGAAGTTAGCCGTCTCGACAGTGTTTATGCATTGGCGATTTCGCCCACTTTGAGCCATATTTTTGGCCAATTCCAATGTACCAGTTGACAAAAATCATAACTGTTTCACTAGAACTCCATTTTTTTCTATCGAATGAGTACAAGAAACCACCCATTTACTGATTTCAACTATCAAATAAAGTGGTCAGAAATTAGTAATTTTGCCAATTTCACACAAATTTCAAAAGATGCCAATTTCCAAATAGAGTCCAGAATAAACAAGACAGACATTCCTAGCACTAAAATAACATTTTTTCTGTTCATTAGTCACGTCCCCAGGCCTCTTACATATTGCTTTCCACTTTGAATTTTTATTCTCACAAAAAAAATAGAAGATTTACTGTTATGCAGACTACTGCATTAGTGTAGAAATGGTATAAATAATATTGGTGCACTTGTGAAAGAATATTAGATTCACCAGTTGACGTGTTTTGGACGCTTGGTATGATTTGTTTAGTTTTGAACTTTGGCAAAAATCGAACATTTCTGCTACTTTGAGCTCAATTTCAAGGTACTTTTCATTGTGAAACCAATTAAAATCATCTCAATTTCTGTAATATGTCTTCCATTCTATAAAATGAGACCAGGAAAACTAGAATACAACCATAAATAGTATACGAAAATAAACTGCAAAGTCACTGTTTTAAAGCAAAAATGTGGTCGGAGTTTTTTTCTCATGCACTGTGTGCTTCAGGATTTTTTTATACTGTGCACACTGACCACATAGACCCATTCTTTCATATGTAGGCCTACCAGCTTTCTCTCGCTAGATTTGAAGGCGCTAGAATTTATGCGTACTAGTATGGCACCAACCCTGGCGTGCAAGGCATACTAGTACGGCACCAACCCTGAAAGGGTTGAGGCATTTATTCTATTTTACTTTAGTGTGAAATAAATTCACAATTTCATATTCTTTTTAATACCAATATTGTCTGGAACTACTAAAACTTGAAAGACACTCTCGACAGTAATGATAATATAATATTTAAAGATCATTAAACTTAGTAAACAAATAATATTTTCGCAATCAAGAACATTCTAGGGGACACAATTTGCAATTAAGTTTTTTTAACACTGGTCATTTTTTTAAATAAATTGGGCGCCCCCAAAAATGGGGAAAAACAATTTTCTTCGTAAACCCATTAAAATCCCTGTCTTCCCAAAAGAATGCTAAATATTTTTTAAATGGTTTTCTAAATTGGCAACTTCCTAAATCAAATCCCTTTACATTTACAGGCACTTTTTCCACCTTTTGGAATTTCGGGGCTGGCCAACGGGTTTACTCTGAATCCCATTTTAAATTTTAAACCTTGTCCCCTTTCAGTAGTGTGAAATTTAATATGCAAAGAATAACTAGGGGGGGAACCCCTGATATAGGGAGTGAAAGAACATTTTAAGAAAAAGGAATACAGGCAGTATGTTCTGAAACCCCTTTTGGGGACATTAATTAATGTATTTGTGCACAACATGTAAAGGGGACCCAAAGCAGAACAAGCTGAATTATTTGGGAACCCAAAGTATTAATTTAATTTCAAAACCCTACAAAGGGAAAAAATTTAAAATTTCGGGGGAAAAAAAAATGAACAGGGTAGATAATAATTTTTTTTTTTTTTTTTTTTTTCAAAAATCGGCCGTCTCCCACCGAGGCAGGGTGACCCAAAAAAGAAAGAAAATCCCCAAAAAGAAAATACTTTCATCATCATTCAACACTTTCACCACACTCACACATTATCACTGCTTTTGCAGAGGTGCTCAGAATACAACAGCTTAGAAGCATATACGTATAAAGATACACAACATATCCCTCCAAACTGCCAATATCCCAAACCCCTCCTTTAAAGTGCAGGCATTGTACTTCCCATTTCGAGGACTCAAGTCTGACTATATGAACATAACCGGTTTCCCTGAATCCCTTCACTAAATATTACCCTGCTCCACTCCAACAGATCGTCAGGTCCCAAGTATCATTCGCCTCCATTCACTCCTATCTAACACGCTCATGCACGCTTGCTGGAAGTCCAAGCCCCTAGCCCACAAAACCTCCTTTACCCCCTCTTTCCAACCCTTTCGAGGACAACCCCTACCCCTCCTTCCTTCCCCTATAAATTTATATGCTTTCCATGTCATTCTACTTGATCCATTCTCTCTAAATGACCAAACCACCTCAACAACCCTCTTCTGCCCTCTGACTAATGCTTTTATTAACTCCACACCTTCTCCTAATTTCCACACTCCAAATTTTCTGCATAATATTTACACCACACATTGCCCTTAGACAGGCCATCTCCACTGCTCCAACCGTCTCCTCGCTGCTGCATTTACCACCCAAGCTTCACATCCATATAAGAGTGTTGGTACTACTATACTTTCATACATTCCCTTCTTTGCCTCCATAGATAACGTTTTTTGACTCCACATATACCTCAATGCACCACTCACCTTTTTTCCCTCGTCAATTCTATGATTAACCTCATCCTTCATAAATCCATCCGTCGACGACGTCAACTCCCAAGTATCTGAAAACATTCACTTCTTCCATACTCCTCCCCAATTTGATATCCAATTTTTCTTTATCTAAATCATTTGATACCCTCATCACCTTACTCTTTTCTATGTTCACTTTCAACTTTCTACCTTTACACACATTCTCAAACTCATCCACTAACCTTTGCAATTTTTCTTTAGAATCTCCCATAAGCACAGTATCATCAGCAAAAAGTAACTGTGTCAATTCCCATTTTGAATTTGATTCCCCATAAATTTTAAACCCACCCCTCTCCCAAACACCCTAGCATTTACTTCTTTACAAAACCCCCTCTATAAATATATTAAACAACCATGGTGACATTACACATCCCTGTCTAAGACCTACTTTTACCAGGAAGTATTCTCCCTCTCTTCTACACACCCTAACCTGAGCCTCACTATCCTCAAAAAAAGCTCTTTACAGCATTTATAACTTACCACCTATTCCATATACTGCAAAATCTGCCACATTGCTCCTCTATCCACTCTATCATATGCCTTTTCTAAATCCATAATGCAATAAAAACTTCCCTACCTTTATCTAAATTTCTGTTCACATATATGCTTCAATGTAAACACTTGATCTACACATCCCCTACCCACTCTGAAGCCTCCCTGCTCATCCGCAATCCTACATTCTGTCTTACCTCTAATTCTTTCAATTATAACCCTTCCGTATACTTTTCCTGGTATACTCAGTAAACTTATTCCTCTATAATTTTTACAATCTTTTTTGTCCCCTTTCCCTTTATAAAGGACTATACATGCCTCTGCCAACCCCTAGGTACCTCCCCTCTTTCATACATTTTTTAAACAAAAGTACCAACCACCCCAAAACACTAATCCCCCCCTGCTTTTAACATTTTTCATGATCCCATCAGTTCCAGCTGCTTTACCCCTTTCATCTACGTAATGCCTCACGTACCTCCACCACACTTACATTCTGCTCTTCTTCACTCCTAAAAGATGGTATACCTCCCTGGCCAATGCATGAAATTACCGCCTCCCTTTCTTCCTCACATTTAAAAGTTCCTCAAAATATTCTCGCCATCTACCTAATACCTCCCCTCCCCATCTACTAAATCCCCTACTCTGTTTTTAACTGACAAATCCATACTTTCCCTAGGCTTTCTTAACTTTTTAAAACTCCAAATTTTTTTATTTTCATTAAAATTTCTTGACAGTGCCTCTCCCACCTTTCATCTGCTCCCCTTTTGCACTCTTCACCACTCTCTTCACCTTTCTTTTACTCCCCAATACTCTGTTTTTAAACACTGCTGCTTTGTAAAAACCTTCATAAGCTACCTTTTCTTTTTTGTCACACCCTTTACTTCATCATTCCCCCAAATCACTCCTTTTTCCCCTGCCCCCCCCTCCTATAACCAAACAAACTTTGCCCCACTTCAATACGCTTTTTAAAACTTTCCCCAACCCTCTTCAAAACCCCCCCCCCCCCCATATCTTTTTGACTACCCCAAACCTTTCCCCAAATAGTCGTTATATCTCCCCTGAACTTCCCCCCCCCCCTTAGTTTTTAACTTTCACCTCCCTTTTTACTTTTTGTTCCCACCTTCCTTTTCCCATTCCCTCTTACTCAACTGTAGCTAAAACAAAATAATGACCGTATATCGTTCCCCTCTATAAACATTACTTTATTTTATATTCAGAAAACATTTAAAAATTTTCAGGGGGTCTCATTTTTAATTAATTTAAATACTTAACTTGCTGAGGGATAGATTAATATAGGCAAAACAGGCTAGGGTAAAATTAACAATTCATGAACAGATCATTCGGGAGAAACTAATTAATGAAATAATAGACACTTAGAGGCCAAATAAGTAAAATGCAGAAAAGGCTGGGGGGGAAAAAAATAATTATAAGTATGATAAGAAAAATTTTCTAATAAAGGGGAATTTAAAATTTGAACATTATTGAAGCAATTTCTTAAACCCTTCATTGTCAAAAGCCCCAAAATTTAAAAAGTGTTTTAATACAGCTTTAAAAAAAAATAATAATCCGAAATAGTAAGAATTTTTTCAGGGTAAATGACCTCAAAAATACAAAATTTTGAGGGAAAATTTAAAAAGAATTATGCGGGAAAAGGGGCTTGCGTCTGGGTCAGTTTATCCCAGGAGTTTTTGCCCACTTTGGGTCTTATTTTAAACCAATTCTAATCTCAATTTGACAAAAATTTTTAGCTATTTCACTAGTTTCTTTCAGTTCTATTGTTTGAGCACAAAAAGTGCTCTTCAATTATCAGAACACTTTTTTTTAAGTGCACAAAATTTGGGAAATTTTTGGCCCAATTTTAAACGAATCAAAAAGTCAGATTTCAAAAGCCCAAAATAAACACTGTAAAATTCGAAGCAACTAAATCTTTAGGCCTTTCCATCTTTACACTTACCTACAATTTTGAATTTAATATACAAAAAAAAAAAAGAGGGATTTTTTATTTCTTGTATAATAGGGGTGATTGTCATGGTTTACTGTGCCCCAAAAATTAAATTAGACCTGGTAAAAACCATAAAAATAGAAAGGGGAAGGGGGGCCTTTTTTCCCTTTTTTAGGAAAAATTTTCAAAATTCTAATATTTCCCCTAATTTTAGACCATTTTCAAGCTACTTTTGGGGTTTAAACCAATCAGATCATTTCCCCTTTGGTGGCATGCTTCATTCTATCAAAAACCAATAAAACCATAAAAAAAATCCTAGAAAAAAACCTGTTTTAAACCAAAAAAAAGGTCAAAGTTTTCTTTTTTCCCTCATCACTGCAAGGCGGATTTTTTTTTTGCTGTCACTCCACGAACAGACTCATTATCTCACTTCGGCCAAAATTTACCGCTCAGACTTATCTGGGGAACTGAGCTCGAAACGTTAAACAAAAAGAACCCTGTATCAAAAACATAGCTCTAGTATGAAAAAGAAAGGGCTAAAAATTTAAAAATGTGCTTTACTTTTTTTATTTTTTTTTTTAAAATTTTGGGTAAGGAAAAAAAAATGGGAATTGAATTTTTTTCGAAAAACTTGGGAATTTAAAGTTTCGGGGATGATTTTGGGATGGTTAAATAGAAAGTTAAAAGGAAAAAAGGGGAAAAGTGGTTGGGGGTTTAAAATTTTTTAGTAAAAAAATTATCATTGGGGAGGAGGGATGAAGAAGTATGTTTTCAAACTTATTGGGTGGGGAGGTTTTGGGTGGTTTTAATCAGAAGGGGGAAAAAAGGTGGGGGCGTGGGAAGGGTCCGTTTTTTGGGAAAAGGGGTTGAAAAGAAAGAAAAATTTTTGGGGGGTTGGGGAAATAGGGAGAAGGGTTGGGGAGTAATTTTTTTAAAAAAAAAAAAAAAAAAAAAAAAAAAAAAAAAAAAAAAAAGTATTAGCGAGGGCAAAGGGGGGGTGTTAGTGGTTTGGTCATTTAGAGAGAAGGATCAAAGTAAATGACATGGAAAATATAAATCAAAGGGGGGAAGGAAGGGGGGTAGGGGTCGTCCCGAAAGGGTTGGAGAGGGGGGAAAAGGAGTT